TGGGGTTTTTATTATGAATGAATGTTGGACTTTGTCAAGAGCTTTTTCTCCATCTAGGAATCTGTCCATTTGTTCTGTGTTTTTTATGCTAACACAGTAAAGATTTTTGAAGTAGAGGTTGATAATTGTCTGAATTTCCACAAGATGTGTAGTGATTTTACCCTTTTTATTCCTCAATACATGAATTTGAGTATTTTCTTTCCATTTTTGGGATAAAGTTGGTTAAGGGTTTATTAGTTTTATTTATTCTTTCAGAGAACCAACTCTGATTAATTCTCTGTGTTGTTTTCTTAGTCTTAATTATGTTAATTTTTTCTCTGATACTTACAGTTTCCTTCCCTGTATAGGATTTGGGCTTGTTTTGCTCTTCTTTTTGAAGCTTGAGGTACAATATTAGGTTGTTTATTTGTGCTCATTCTGTTTCCCTGATGGGAGAATTCACCACTATAAATTTCCCTTTTAAGACTACTTTCATTGTGTCCCACAAGTTCTAGTATGTTGTATGTGTATTTTCTTTCAATTATAGATATTGCTTAATTTCTTGTCTAATTTCATCTGTGACCCATTGGTTGTTCAGGAGGATGTTATTTAATTTTGATGTGTTTATGGAGTTTTTGAGGTTTGTTTTGGCATTAATTTGCAATTTCATGTTACTATTGTCACATAGTATGCATGGGATAATTTCAGTTCCATTACATTTACTTACATGTTCTGTAGGCTAATATATGGCTTTATTTTAGAAAACATCCCAAGCACATTGTTAACCTTATTGTTAAATATTTTGTTTTATAGTGTTATAAATGGAGTTGTGTTTTATAAAAGAATTACATTTATCCTTTTTTTGTTATTGTTGCCACATATTCTATTTGTGCAAAATATTATAATCCTGATACAGTGCCATTACTTTTGTGTTAAATTGTCAGTTGCTTTTCACAGAAATTAAGAAAGAAAGAAAACAATGGAAACCTACATCTACTCTAATGAGTACCATTTTCAGCACTCTTTATTCCTTTGAGTCTGCAAAACTTTTCCTCTTGTATCATTTTCTTTACTGTTAAAGAAAGAACTTCCTTTAACAACTTTTAGTGTAGTTCTGCTGGATTAAAAAACTTTTAGCATTTCTTTATCTGAAAATCTGTATAGAATTTCATTGTTAGAGGACAGTCACTGGTTAAAGAAATACATGTGAACTTTTTTCTTCATTTAGTATTTTAAAGACAACATTCCCTTGTCTTCTAGCCTCCATTGTTTGTGGTGTAAAATCAGCTATCATTTTCTTGTGTTTAATATCTTTTATTCCTATAGCTCCTTTAAAACTTTCTTCTTCATTTGTTTGACAGTAATATACCTCAGTTTGGCTATAATTTTTTGTTTTCTTAGTTTATGATGCTTAGGTGTTTCTGGACTTCTGCTAATTACCAATTATAGAAATTCTCACCCACGTACCTCTAAATGTTTTTAGATTTCATTCTCCTTATTCTTAAGGTGTGCTCTTTACTTAAGGTTATGGCCTCTGTTCCTAAAATGTAGCATTTCTGCAGTCTTAGTGTCCAAGTTTCTCATTATGCTCTTCCACACTAGCTAGACTAGAAATCCTTGTCTCAGGCCTGTGTGACCTCTCATCGCTAGTTAAGTCTCAGCCCTACATCAGCTACTCTTTGTGGACACTGGGAAATCTCACTTTGTGTATATATAGCTCAGCCTTTAGCCAACACTCTGTTGACTCTTGTGAACATTTCTGGATACCTCTTCAAAGCTATGATGCACAAATTCCAGCTGCTTCATTAGCTCCAAATTGTTACCTCCTGTCTTATTAGCTCAGTGAAGCTATTGTTCACTGACTAGGTTTCACTTTCCTACTCAACCATTTAGAGACCATACCCAGGCAAGGACCCAGGGGAAATATGATATTAATCTCATGCATTTTCTCTTTTAGCTGTCACAATCCTGTATTGCTCATGGTCCAGCATCTAAAACAAGCGTTTTGTGTATTTTTCTCAGATTCAAAGATGTTTAGGTATAACACTGTCAGGCCCTCGATGGACCTGACTTTTTTTGTTAAATATTTAGAGTTTGATACGGAGTTAGACATATCTAATTTAAATGAGGAGGCTATCAAATTTCATGCCCACTGGAATAATTAAGTAATATTAAGACGTGTTAGGGAGTCTAGGTTCACTCTTCTAATTGCTGAAATACATGTATTTCCTTTGAAAGCACATAGCTGAAACAGAATATTCACAACATTAGTCTGTGAGCCATGGATGAGAACCTTTGTTATGTTTAGATCCTGGTTTTGCTGCCTTACTTTCTTAGCTCATAAATTTATTGTAAAGCTTAAGTGAAACGAATGCAAGTTATATTTGCCATATAATAATATTCATTCAATAAACAGAAACTTCTCTGATAACACTTCCATTTTTAGTTTTCGTATCCATCCTCATCTCGGCAAACCAAGTTAGGCCTTGTTGCGACTGAGATGGATGACCACCTGCCCTGTGTGGGCAGTATTCCAAAAGGAATACTGACACCCAAATTCCTCCATCTTTCCCATTCCTTTTCAATCAGTCAGAGCACAAGTGAAGTCCTCATCATGCGTACAGCTTACTTACCTTAGGATTGCGGCATTATTCCCGATGACACCAACCTCTATATTTTCAGCCTATCGCTCACATCCTCTGCCTATGTTCTTGCCTTAAATGAAATCTCTTTCCTAATAATACCTGAAGGTTTCATAAGTGACTATAGTTGTTTGATTTTACAAGCCGTATATACTCAGGACTTGAAGGTAGGGTTGATATCATCTTATAGCTCATTATTGCTAACACCATCCTGCTACTATCTTATAAAATGCCTCTCTAATAAAGCTCATTCTATTAACGTTTATTACCTCCTGCTCCATTGCTTGCTGTAATGTAGTAACTTTTTCAATCATTTTGCCCCCATTCTTCTAAAACACTGATACCTGGTTATCCCTACTACTGTTCCTCCTGTCTTTCTACATACTTAGAAATGAGGATGATAGTCACAACCCATTCTATTCTACTGACTCTGGGCTCCTTAATCTGCTAGTCAATTGTGCTTCTTCTTGTCTCTGCCATGTCCTGTCATGTTAATTATTTCTGCTTTAAATTAATTCACTTACAAAATCACTAAGTCATACAGCATTATTTGTGACCACATTTCTTTTTCTAACAGTGATTTAGCACTCCTATAGAACTTTTTTGAACTGCCTCATAACATGTAATTTAATAACTCTTTAGGCATCTTTTTCCATCATTTCCTTTGTCTCCAATTTAAAGTCTGGGGCTCAGGATTTCAAAAACACTCCTTCCTGCGGTCAAAAATTCTCTGGCACCTCTGCTTTGTTCATCATGTTGGCTTGCAAATTCTTGATCCTAAATGAATTCACTGATGCTTCTTCCATACGCATCTGCACATAGTGGATTGCAGTAGTTATGCTACACAGTTGTAAAGATACCCGTTATCTACAATGGAAATTTCAAACCTACTTTTCTTCTTTTCAGTCTAAAATTGTGGACAACCAGAATAATGCAATACATTGTGTGAAGTATTAACAGAGGCTTCGGGCCAAGACTATGGGCCAGTGTGTGGATTTTGTTCATGTTCATGTCCATGTTCATGTTCTCTTGAGTAAACGTGTGGAGATCCTCTGGTCCCACTTCGTACATGAGCAACACATTTCCAGTGCTCAGTTTTACAGCCTGAACCCAGTCTGACTCAGCACAACATTTGAGTTTTATAGTTACAGGTTTCTTTGCTTAAGATTCAAAAATCCCAGCTCCAAAGGCCTGAAGTGAGGGAGTCTGATTTATAATGTGTACATTTTGCCATCTTGACTTGTAAGTTTTTCTACAATAGATGTAATTTTATATGTGTTGGTGTGATTGTTCAATTAATGTTTTATATCCACATGAAACCCAAAGTTTCACTAGGGAAGAGACCATATCTACTTTTGCTTACCTTGTGCTCCCTTTGGAGCAGAATTCTGAATAAATTATGTTTTATTATTATGAGTGTAGCAATGTTTTTTAGCATTCTAATCCATTGTTACTCGACCATTTCTCTTATCTCTGATGTCATCAATCCAAAATTTTCCTTCCTCTAAAATTCATGCTGTTTGGATTAGTTGTTTTCATCTTCTGCTTGTCATTTTCAGATTTCATTGTACAGTACCAACTTGTAACTGTAAAAGTATTTTGTAGTAATCTGAAACCACCTATGAATCATTTAGGATGACTTTTTCAGTAAGAGGAAACTCTAGGTTAGTTTTCCTTAAAGGATAGGGAAGTTTATAATGGACATAATAAAAAATTTGGACATAAAACCTCATACCCACAGGCTCTGGTTTTGTTTTCCTGTAATGCTCTTGAGCCATTTTTCCTCTCAATGTTATATTCACCCTTAAGTTAAGAACAAGATGGCCACACCCCTGTGGCAAAAAAACAAGTCACTTTACCATCCAAAGGAAGATCAGGGGCTGGCTCTTTCCTGGGTCTCCATTTTCTAGTCATCAAGTTCCCCCAGCATATTTTCCCTCCATAATGGTTTAGATCTAAAATCCCCCCTGCCCCCAGTCTCATAGATTCATTGGTGGCACTTCCACAAGGTGACTGAATCACAAAGACCAACTCCATTAGTTTTGAGTATGTTGATGAGGTCATAACTTCACAGCACTATTAGAAACTGATGGAAACAGGAGATAAGGACTAGTTGACAGACATGGGTCCTGGGGATGTGACCTCAGGAACGGTATCTTTTCTCCAGCCCTCATCTCTGGCCCTTTCTTCCTTCTGCTTCTTGGTCACTGAAAGGTAAACAACTTTCTTTATCAGGTCCTTCTACCTTGATGTTATGGGTTGAGAACTGGTGGTCAACTTAACGCCAGCTGGATTACATCAGCATGCATTGAGCAAAGATGCTCCACCTGAGGAGGGTTGCCAGGATAAATAGGTGGAGAAGAAGGGAGGTGTTGAAGGGTTGAAGCTTTAAGGAGGCATTGTGGGTTCTCCTACGAGTTGCTGTCTGAGCAGTTGGTTCTCCTGGAGAAGCTCTGGTCCTCACATCTAGCACTGCTTCCTGGCTTCAGAGGGTAAGACATGTGTTGCTTGGTCTCTAGGATGAACTCGTCATGCTGCTTCTTGGCATGTACCCGACTGTGCTTGTCGTTGGAGAAGCTCAGGGCCTCCATGTCACTGAGGACAGCTGTGGTGCCTTTCAGGATAGCCCAGTCTTTGTTGTGAGTGTGACTTCTCGGCTCCAACGTAGAACTCTCATCCCACTAGCACAGCTCCTTCATCCTGCTGGCATAGACTTTCTGGCTTCCACTACTGACCCTTGTCTTCCCGGCATGGATCGGTAATAGAGACTGAAATGAGTCCTTCTTGTGGACTCTGGACCTCCAGTTGGACTCATGGGAAGCATTGTCCTGAGTTCTGGGTTTTTATCTGGACTCATGTGAGACATTGCCGTGGGGTTTAGGCTCTTGACTAAATAATCTATGTCTTTGGTGTTGCGGATAGATTTCCTGCATTTTCCTGTGTTAACTTCCGGTGACCATTATAAAAATATAATAAACTCCATGTACTACTCCTAGTTGTTCCCTGTGTACAGCCCCTGACTACAACACTTTTGATATTTCTGTCTTAGAGCCAGGTGACTGTAGCCTGAAACTTCTGAAACTATGAACCCAAACAGATCTTTTCTCTTTTAAGTTGTTTCTCTCGGGTTTTTGTCACAACAACAAAAAGCTGACTAATGTAGCCTTCTAACACCAAAATTGAGCTTTAGGCTACATTCTAAAGCAGTCCTTGAGTGAGACTGGGGTTACCTTGACTGCCCCTTCTTGTCACATGGGAGGGATTGGAAGTTCCAGGCATCAGTCATCTTTATTTCTGTAACTCCACCTTTAAAATATAATTTAGACATCCCGTTCTGATCACACTTGCTATTTTTTCAACATTTTCTTTCCTTTCATTCAATTTTTCCTCTCTCTTTATTGAATTATAGTCTATTAGTCAAATTCAGCTTTCGTGTTAAATCAGAATTCAATTCTGCCTCTTCTTCCTAGTCTAGCATTCAGGATAATCAGTACACTCAATTTGTTTGCAACAGTCAGTCAGTTCTCAGTCTATTGTGGATAAATTCACCAATTATCTTTCTTCATTTATTTCCTTGCAAGCCTTGCTGGGAAAAAAGTGGCATTATTCTGGAGATCTCTATTACTGTGAATCCACAGATGTTAAACTAATCCTGGCCCTTGATACCATACAGTAGCCCTTTAGTTCTCTCTGGTCAATTCCTTTCACAGGTAGTGTGTTGTATCCTGGTTCTATAATTTAATAGAATGTATGACTTTGGGCAGATAATTTAAATTTCTGAAACTTAGCTGTTTGATTTCTGTAAGATTAGAACCAAGGTACCTGATTTTCATTTGTTTGTTCTCTTTTTGAGGATGAGATTTTACTAAATTGCTCGGACTGGTTTTGAACTCAGGATCTTCTTACCTAAGCCTTCTGAGTCACTGAGATTAGAGCTCCCCTGAGCTCAGCTGAAAATTGTTTTAATGATTAAAAAATGAGTGAAATGATTTGTTCACTGTCACACAGTACTCAGTTAATAGTAACCTTTATTTTAACCTAAACCTCATGCCCTTCCTAGGTCTCTACTTTGAATCTGCTTTTCTTCCATATTCCCTTATACTCTTGGCAGACATTTTGGAGAATACAGAAAAATTTGGAAAATTGGTTTCTTTTTTGCCCTGTAGTACAAGAACTATATTTATCTTTGCGTCCCAAATGGTCTAACCCATGAAATATCCAGTGTTTATTCAATTGAATTTAACATGTCATTATTATTATTTTTTTTATCGGTATTAGGGATCAAACTCATGACTGCTGGCTTGCAAGGCAGGTGCTTATGCTGCTGAGCTAAATCCCCAGCCCCACATGTCATTATTTTTAATATTACTTCTGTGAGGGTATGCAAAGATAAGGGAGTCATAATCAAAATATGATAGGCTGGAAATTAGGTTAAATATTTGCTGGTGATTGCTAGTGAAAAATAAGTTCACTGGCATTTAAAAATCTTCCTGAAAGGAACCTGGGACTCAGAGGAAGTATAAATAGAAAGATTCATTTAGCTCTGATAATTAGCAACATAAACAGAACAGTGATAAATAAATTAGCTTTATTTGTAAATAATCATTGATGGTCCAAATAATGTGCTTTGTTGACAGAGACTTCCTTACTCAATATTTCCATATCTCTCAAATATAAAAGTAAAGCTAAATGGCTACAGATAATGGTCAGTGTTTTTTTTTTTTTTTTTTTTTTTTTTTTTTTTTTTTTTTTTTTTTTCAATAGCCTTAAGAAGAGAGAACAAGCATTCCCCTACTAACTAAACATAATCAGCCAGGCAAAGTCATTATAACCTTTCTTGGTACAGGATAAGAATATAATAAATATTTCTTAGCGTACATCCAAATTGAATTTCTATGACCAATTATTACAGTTAATTTTATTTTCTTGAAGTAAGCTTGAAGCTAGAAGAGAACATTAGAGAAATTCACATTAAAACAACACTGAGATTCCATCTTATCCCAGAAAGAATGGCCATAAATTCCATTTCACCCAGATATTTCCTCTCTAGGTATCATTCTTTCCCAAAAAACTAAAGAAATCTGCCTTAGCTACTTTTCTCAATGCTGAGACCAAATACTTGACATCCGAAGTTAAAGGAGGAAAGGTTTATTTCAAATCACAATCTGTAGAGGTTTCAGTACTTTAATTGGTGGCTTCCAGACATGATGACATGGCAGAGAGACATTGCAAGAGTGGAAACAATTCATGGGAGGCAGGAGGTAGCAGGGAGCAAGCTACAAGTGATAAGCAATGACCCTTATTCTGTCTTTTGTGTTCCATCCAGGCTACAAGGGTGGGTAGCATTCACACCCAGGGTGGGAGATCCTTAATCCTGCCCAGAACCATGCCAAACCAGTCAGTGGCAAAATGAAATCAGAATGATTGTGAGTCAGATACCCTGCCACTTACACACGCCTTTGATCCCAGCATCCCACACTTAATCCCAGTGTCACACACTCTAGATCCAGCTGCCTATGAAAATTCTCAGCTATGACTGTATGAGATCTAGACATAAATCATAACCACATCATATTGCAGTGATACATGCATATCCATGTTTGTAGCAGCACAATTCATAATAGCTAAATTTTAGGAGTAGCCTACGTTTATCCTATCAATAAGAGAATGGATAAAATAAATATAGAGTTTATACTCAAAGGATTAATACTACTCTGCCACAAAACAGGATACACTTGGGTGATTTGTAGGAAATTGGATGTACCTTAATGTTAACTGAAATAAGACACACAAGTTTAAATACTGCATGATGTCTCTTATGACAAATCTACCACGTGAATAAAAGATCATAAGAAATAGGGAGATAGATCTTTCTCAAATGGGAACACGATCAAGAGTTTGAGGAAGAGTGAGGCGTGGTGGTGGTCACAGCACTCATGAGGTTGAGGCAGGCCTGAGCTACATAGCAAGCTCAAGGCCAGCCTGGACTAAATGTTTCCACCTCCCCCTCAAAAGAGTTAAGATGTGTTATGTCCACATACCAATTCCCCACAAGGAATGTGATCATCATGTACTATAAACAATAAAAAATAAAAACAGAATATCAGAAATAAAAAATAACATTAGAATGATGTTATGTTTTGAAGATGCTTAGTCCAGTAGATAGAAAATTTAAACTTGTATAAATTTGAGAGTTAAAATTGTAGCTAACCAGGTGTAGGGGTGCATGCCTGTAATCCTCGGAGGCTAAGGCAGGAGCATTTCCATGAGTTCAAGGCCAGCCTGGACTACATAGTGAAAGTCTATCTCAGTAAAACTATAAACATTTTTAAACTACAGAATTATAATTAAAGAAGCCTATGAATTCAGGTTCCTTTGCAAGTTACTTTCTCACACCCCCTTTTTATTTCTGATCTACCAATAGTGAATATAGACACTATTGTAAATCATTGGTCTTCACGGGGCTTTGAAAAGGTAAAAACTATTGTCAGTTTCTGAAATGTGAATACATTTGGCAAAATGAAATCAGAAAGTTTGTGAGTCAGGTACCCTACCACTTCAACAAACCTACAGAAGCTTATCTTTGGCTTGTATAAATGCCACACTCATGTTTTCACCAACATTTTAAGTCTTTCCTGTGGATTTAAGGGTGTTTCTGCTTTTATGCCATAAAACTGTGCTGTCCTCCTCTTTGTTTTGGCTCATCTCCATTTTAGTGAATATACATATGTGATTCTTGTGCATTTCATTAATTTCTTGTGTTTTTCAAAAAGAATCACATAAATTGAGAAGGAGATGCTGACACAAGCTTGAACTGGCCTGACATGTAAAAGGTTGAGTTGAGTCTAGCATTTATAATGATGATCTAGTAGTTAGGCTTATAGCTAACAATGCTGAGCCTGAGAAAAATAGACTTGTATGAAGGCCTTGAGGCCACTTCAGTGCTGTGTTCCAGAAAAGACCAAGAAGGACCTGTGCTGAGTATGTTCTCTTTCCATTTTGCCTCTAAAGTATTCCTTACTTTACTATTTATTTACTTACTCAGTACTTCAAAACATAGCTAGACCAGTGAAGGAGGGTGAAACTCCTAATGTAAAAGGCTTTGAAGCTGGCTAGACCATTATCCATTGTAAATCATTACAAAACTAATTTATAGAAATATCTTTATGCAATAAATGCTACATATTTTATAGGTAGCCCATCTGATTCAGTTTTTGTTATCTGAAAGCTGGGGTACCCATGCTTTTCAGTCTTGCATTTCTATGTTGGTTATTCTGTTTGTCCTTTTACTGTCCTCTGGGTTATCTACTATTCTCCACATTGTTATTTACCCTAGAAAACTGATAGTGAGAATCAGAATGTTTATTCCTTGATTTTTCCCACTTTAATGGCAATGACCCCTATCATCCATAAATACAGCTCCCCGCTGGTGACTTCTCACTATCCTCCAGTATCATCATTTCCTCTTATCTCGCTCAAGGTTAATAGTTCC